GGGGGGCATGCTCAAGACTAATCTATGCCTGTTAATTGGACAATTCATCAATGCAAACTGTAGTATTTGAAAGCTAACAGTTTAAGCACATAAAGTGCTGACTGGGTTGTGTAATCTTATTCTTGTTTTTTTTTCTTCTGTTAAGAAAAATGTTCCAAGAAAGAGATTTCAAGTTAGACACGGTTAAGCTGATTTTTGTTCACTGATTTAGGCTTAACATACTAGACATGAAAAGTTGTAATGCATCATGTATGCATTAAATTGTGTTGGTGTTTTTTCCTTTCTTTTTACTTTTCCATTGATTCCTTTGTCTTTTGATTTCTTTGACTTTATTTTCCTTTGACTTCTCTGTAAACTTTGAAAAAACTTTTCCTCCTTTAGCTTTTTTCTTTCTTTTTTTTTTTCCATTGATTACTTTGACTATTGATTTCTTCTTCTTTGACTTTTGATTTTCTTTTGACTTTTCTTTAAACTTCTTTTAACTTTTCCTCCATTAGCTTTTCAATAGTCTTTTCCGCCTTTTAAAAGATTGATTCCTTTGACTTTTGATTTCTTTTTCTTCGACTGTTGACTGTTGTTTCGCTATTCCCTTAACTTTTCCACCCTTGACTTTTCTGTCGTTCCCCAGACACATCCCTTGAGCTCCTGGAACAGCACCAGGCCCGGGAGCAGGCGCGACTGTTACAGCGCTTCCGGGAGCTGCGCCAGTGGCAACAGCAACAGCAGCAACAGCTCATGCAGCAGCAGCAACAGCAGCTGAAGACATGGCAGGAGGAGCAGAGCCAACTGCAGTCGCTGATTGCCACACAGAAGGTGGACCCTCGCAGCCAGGGTGAGTGTGCGTATGTGTGTGTGTGTGTGCGTATGTGTGTGTGTGTGTGTGTATGTGTGTGTGTGTGCATGTGTGTACATAGTGTGTGTGTTTGTCTGTGTGTGTGAGTGTGTTTGTGTGTGTGTGTATAAGTGTGTGTGTGTGTGTGTGTGTCCTTTCTGAAAGTCCTTGTGCATGGCGCCTGTTCTTTTTGTTTGCTTTCTTTTTTTTTGTGTTAAGTACGAACATAAAAAAAATAAAATTCTTAGAAAAACATATATTTTGTGGAAATAACAATATATATATACATGTATCATATACAAATATTATAGAAGTAATTATCTTTCATGATCTAGCAGGTTAATTAAGTATGCATATTTTTTCTGGTATTTTTCAAAGTAAGCCCATCTGTGCTCTTTCTAAATGTCATTGTGTTGTTTTTTTGTTTCTCATAATAAAGTATAGACACTTTTATTGAATTATTAAGTGGTACTTGCATTCCTTTAGCGGTGATATGGCTTTTCTTAATCTTACCCTTGAACTTCTCACCTTTAAGTATCCTGTTATTAAAGATCAGACTGGCTGGCTGGCTTTTTATTTTAATTTTAATTTTGCTTTTTTTTTTTCTTCGATTGGATGAGAAGAGAAATGTACTTTATGCAACTGCCAGTTGATTACCTAGATTGTTTTTCTCTCTGATAAAGGACGGAAACAGGATAAGTCCTGAGTCAGCGAGGTCCCAGGTCATGTATTTGTTCTGGTTTTTGTCCTTTTTATCTCCATCTTTGTGTGTGCTGTGAAGGGCAGGGCAAGTGCAAACATGTCCTGGAGAAAGGCTATGTTTTCTTTGTTACGGAGAAAAAAAGTTCTCTGTAAAAGTAATTGGAAATGTTTTACGCCGCCATCAACACAGTTATTATAATTTTGGAAGCAAGGTGCTTTGAACCTAGCTGTGAAACACTTTGTCATGGCATGCAAATGACGTGAGTTTGATCCCCATGAGAGAGGTTTTAAAAAATCTTTAAAATTGTGTATCTCTGTTTGTGTGCTGGGATGTTATACCTGTCGCAGCGTGGGTAGGTCCTGGCAGCCAGGATTAAACCAGCCTATGTCCCAAATTATGTAATTTGTTTCAGAGGGGGCATTTTTGTAATACATCTACAATTGCAATTTTTGCAACCTGTAACAAATTCCCATGATTGAACTTTTCTGATCATATCAGTTGTAAGAATTTGATTCATAGTCCAACTAGTTGGCTTTGTTTTAATCTTGAAGTGTCAATTCAAGAAGCCAAGAGTTTTTTCAGTGGCTTGATGACTGGCAGAAATTTGTTGTGATGATAATTTTTTTTTTTTATCTATCTCATTGATCGACCATATGTGGCCTTGGATCTATCCTATGACTTAATTTAAAAAAACAAACAAACTCTCAACTCCACTCTTTCCTCCTCCAAATGGTGAATGATATATGATACTAGTGCAATTGAAATTGTCCAAGATGTCCATCTATTTTTGTTGAGAAAAGGGGTTGTCTTAGGTAGGTGGAAGTCTTGGGGAGGGTAAGTATAATTTAGCAAAAACACAAGGTGGGAAGTAGTCATTTGTACAAGTAATTGTCTCTGACAGGTTTTTTTTTTAGAGCAGGTACAACTGTAATTAGATTTACATTCACACTATGCATGAGGCCTGAATTTGTATTTTTGTCTTTTGCTTTAGGTTCTAGGTTTTATCCAGACGGCTTGGAGACAGAGTGAGAGTTGGGGGTGGGGGGGGGGGGGGCTAAGAAGGGATAAGAGAGAGAGAGAGAGAGTAGGAGAGGTGAGAGATTGTCAGAAAGAGATGAAGAGGGGGAGAGAGAGTGAGTAAGGAAATGTGACTTGAGTGTAAAAGAGACAAAGGGGCTCTCTCTGCTTTCCTTCTTTTTTTCTTTCTTTTTTTTTTCTATCCCAACATACTGCCTTTGGACTCCTAATTTCTACCTGGCCCGATTTGTTGAATGAACATGCACATACATTTCTTTCTGCTCGTTGGAGGTCGGAAGGCTTCACTGGTATGTCCCATACTTTTTCTTCCTACTGTTGATTCATTTGCCTGTTTTTACTTTTTCTCTGAATTAAGTGACCATTTGTTTGTGAATATGCTCCTCCTCTGTCCTCAAACGAAAAATAAACCTAATGACAAGTATTGTGTTGATATACTTCTGTTCACTCTAACAAATAAACAAACTTGGTGGTTGGCAGGTGCTCTGATGTGGTTTTACTTCTTCTTTCTTATCAAACATCAATCGTCCTTTTCTCTCCTTTTTTTCCGTATGTTACTTTCAAGTAACACCTGTAATCTTTGGCACTTATATGACCTATTTGTGTTTGCAAATGCTGTAAAACTTATACTTAAACTGAAATAAACAAACAGACAAGATTTTCATGATCTCATTCTCATTTTCTTTTCACTTTCTTATTCTTTAAGCAGTGCTGAAGCCGAATCTAGGTGGTTCAAGGTCGCCGGTCATGACCCCTCCGTCCAAACCCCGCCCCGCCCCCGGTCAGAAGGCTAAGGAGTGGACACAGACGAGTCAGCCGCAGGGGCCTGGGATCTCAGTTGACAGTGGTCTGGTCTCCATGCAGGACACTTGGAAGGTGAGATAGCTGGAGGTGGAAAAAAATTTAGTAAAAAGGAAACTTTTGGTGAAAGTTTTCCTGAATTTGTGCCAATGGAAAGAAAAGAAGCACTTGTAGGTGAAAGGAAAGAAACAATGTTTTCCGTGAAAATTGTTCTTAACAAGTGTAGATGGAAAGAAAAAAAACCCCACTTTGCAGAAGAGAAGAAAACCGTTTTCAGGGAAAGTTAGATGGAAAGAAAAAGAAGTACATTGCAAATGAAGAGAAGAAATGCTTTCAGTAAGATTGTCATCAAGATTAAATGGAAAGAAAATGAAGCAGTTTGCAGATGAAAAAACAAAATTCTTTTTAGTAAAATTGTCCTGTATGGATAGACATAAGAAGAAATAGTTTGTAGACGAAAAGAAGAAGAAACGCTTTCAATGAAAATGGTTCTTAACAAAACTCAGTGTCGCTGGTAAGAAAAAACACTTTGCAGATGAAAAGAAGAAGAAACACTTTTGATGAAAATAGTCCTTAGCAAGTGTAGATGCAAAGAAAAAGAAACATTTTGTTCTTTTTGAAAGCAGCAGTCTGGCACGTGTTATAATGTTCTAGCAGAAAGACAGAAGTAGTCTATATGGTCACTTTTAAGGACAAGCGGGCTAACCCAGATTTTGGGGGTTTCCAGAAATCTTGACCTGCACCAAAAGTGGGCATTGCCCTACCTGTAGGTGTGTAGATCTACATTTGTTTGGTTATAGAGACTCTCCTTGTCTTTTAAAGGCACTGAACAAAACAACATTTTTCGGGATAGCCCCCTTGTGCTTAAATTTTTCAATTCGTATTATTGGGAGACCGTTTTTCCATTTTTTTTGTCTGTTATTCCCCAAAGAAGAACGACAATTATTATTCTCAGCATAATTTGTTTAATCTCATATTAGTCGTGTCTATTAACTGTTTTTTAAAATTTGCAAATGCAACTAGTACATTTTTCATGTATTTTCTGAATTTTCACCAAATTTCAGTGGCATGCTTTTTTAAATGTTTTTCTGTACTGGGCCAATTTTCTCATAATGTTTCTCTGCACTGAGAGAATTTTCTCATTATGTTTCTTGGCACTGAGATAAATTTATCATTATGTTTTGTTGCTCTGAGCCAATTTTCTCATGTTTTTTGGGACTGAGATAAATTTATCATTATGTTTTTTCATGTGAGCCAATTTTCTCATAATGTTTTTCTGCACCGAAACAAATTTCTCATTGTGTTTTTCTCACTCAGACAAATTTCTCTGTCTTATGTTTTTTTGCTCAGAGCCAAGGCTCGCTACCCAAACCGGTGATGTTCATGGACCCCGGCCAGTCGGTCAACCCGGCAGATGACGACCGCTACACCAACTCAGAACTCTTCAGCAACCCAGGGTCTCGCGAGGACGAGCTGGAAGTGCTGCGGGCAGACGAGATGTCGCGGCCCATGCCGGACTGGATGTCGGACACCAGCGAGAACTTTGTCCCGCCCACCCTCCCGCCGCCTCGGCCAAAGGATGTTGGTGGCAGGAGTAATGGTCGCCAGGCAGACCCATTGGCGGGTCTGGAACATTTGCTCAACACAGCGCCTGCTGGTCTGCTGCAACAGGTGCGACTTGTAGGGTTTAAAAAAATTTTTTTTTTCATTTTTGTTTTTGTTCTTTTCATTTGTGTTTTTTTCCCCCTATTTTTATATTCTGATTTGTTTATTTTGTTTTGTTAAGTGTTTTATAGTGTTCGCAACTGCATAAGTTCATACGAGCGCGCGGTAGAAAAAAAAATTGGTTTGGACTATACAGTTCTTACCATATCATATTTGTCTCTCTCTCTCTCATATCATAATTCTCACTCTCTCTCTCTGTCTCTCTCTCTCCCTCTCTCTCTCTTTCTCTCTCTCTCTCTTCCTCTCTCTCTCTCCCCCTCTCTCTCTGACTCTCTGTCATCATGGCTGTGTTCGTCTAACAATGCCCCACCACTTGCCACATTAGGCCTCTATCTTCCCTCATCTATTCTTAGATGTTCTGTTTTACTATTTTATTAAGTTGAAGGCCACTGTCATATTTCATCATCATCAATGCCTTTCACCCCTGGCAGGGTATAGGCCACATACAAGTTCCTTCCATTTATCTCTTTCCTGGGCCATCCTTCCAAGCTCGTTACTGTCTTATTTATATCCATATTAAGCTCTTTTTGTATTGTTTTTGTGTGTGTGTGTGTGAAAATGCAGGTTCTGACCCTGCTCCCCATCAACCAGCGAGCCCAGAAACCGACGGTGGCTCACAGTGCAGACGAAGTAGAGCTCTCCGCCTCCCCGACATTACCCGGGCCTGGACAAAACCGTCAGCTGCCTCCCAGAAAACTGCAGTACAATAACGATGATGACGAAAACTGGCCGCAGCAGCAACATCCTCAGCAGAAGCAGCAGCAGCAGCAGCAGCAGCAGCAGCAGCATCTTCAGCAGAAGCAGCAACTTCAGCAGCATCATGATCACCATCAACAGCAGCAGCGACAGCAGCATAAGCAGCAGGTGATGAACCATCAAGCGCAGAATTTGGTGCCGCAGAAGCACAGGATGGGAGGAGGAGGAGGAGGCGGAGCTCAGCTCATTATGGTGGGGAATGGTTTCTGTTCTGTCTTTTTATACAAATCTGTAAATCTTTCTGGCTTTTACATAGTATTATAGTACCTCATCTCTTTGTGTAGAGGGGTGGGTGTGTTGGGGTTTTCTTTGGTGGGGGGGGAGAGGGGGGTGGTCAGTGTGAGGGGGCGCTTATAGTAGGTCCTACCTTCTTTTAGCACTTTTGTCTTTTTTTTTCTTTTTCTCCTCTCTGTCACACCTCTTGCATCATGTTCTTACTGTATTGAGATCGAATTCTTTCAGTTTTGACAGTCTTCTTTCTGGTAATTTTTATAAACTCTGATCTGGCATTGTGGGTTTTTTTCTGTCTTGACGTCCTAATCTTCCTTGATTTGTCACTGTTTTCTTCCAGGGAGTTCATAGCCCTAATTTCACATTCTGTTCTTTCAAGTAAGTTTTTTAATTCTTTCAGTATTTAAGACGAAATTTTAATCTGACATATTCTTTGAAGAAATTTTTTGAGTTAATTTCAGCATCATGTTTTCTCATAACTGTTTAGCTCTTGTCTGACCTCATGTTCTTTCTGATAATGTTAAAAACTCTTCTTGCATAAAAAAAACCCTACAACTTTAACCTGACAAACTTTTAAAAGAAATTTTAACATCATGTTCCTTCTTGTAATGTTTAAACTCTTAATCTGCAATCTTGTTTTCTTGGTAATGTTCAAAACTCTCAATCTGAAATCATGTTCTTTCTGGTAATGTTTAAGTCTGAAATCATGTTCTTTCTGGTAATGTTGAAGTTTGAAGTCATGTTCTTTCTGGTAATGTTTAAGTCTGAAATCATGTTCTGTCTGGTAATGTTGAAGTCTGAAATCATGTTCTTTCTGGTAATGTTTAAATCTGAAATCATGTTCTTTTTCTTAATTTTTTGTCCAAAGCAGAACATGGATGATGTGCCAGACCCTCGCTACATTCCTCGAGCAGTCACGTTCGATGACAGAAACTTAGTGAGAAGTGCACAATATGATGATGAAGAGGGTGATGAAGAATGGGATGATGAGGATGGCGATGATGTTGATGATGACGATGTTGATGATGGGGACGACAATGAAGAGGATGCTGATGATGGTGATGATACAGCGAAAGAGGTGAGCTTGTCTTTGTGTTGTTTTTTTTTCAAAATGTGCTAAAGTTGTGTCCGTCCTTTGTGGACATGTTTTCTTTCTTTGTCTCTCTCTCTCTCTCTCTCTCTCTCTCTCTCTC